TACAGGCGCGTGCTACCACACCCGGCTGATTTTTTTATTTATTGTAGAGATGAGGTCTCACTGCCCAGGCGGGTCTCAAACCTGCAGGCTCAGGCAATCCACTCACCTCAGTCTCCCAAAGACACGGGATTACAGGCTGAGCCACCGAGCCCGGCTGTTTCTCTGATTTCTTAACGCATCTCTAGACAAGCTGTGGCCATACATCAAACGGGGATTTTTTTTTTTTTTTTGAGTTGGAGTCTCACTCTGTCACCCAGACTGGAGTGCAGTGGCTACTTCCGGCCACCGCAGCCTCGACCTGCTGTTCTCCGGCGATCCTTCCGCCTCAGCCTTCCAAGTAGCCGGAATTACAGGCATGCGCTACCACGCCTGGCTGATTTTTTGATTTATTGTAGAGATGAGGTCTCGCTGCCCAGGCGGGTCTCGAATCCGCGGGCTCAGGCAATCCACTCACCTCAGCCTCCCAAAGGCGCGGGATTACAGGCTGAGCCACCGAGCCCGGCTCAAACTGGGATTTTCTGAAGATACGGAGAGTCGTACCCGAGGAACACAGCACATGGAGTTTGTCAATAACTGAGGTTCTAGTGACGCATGACTAGCATGCACCTTGGACGTTCCCTTTCAAGGAGGCACAGGTTTGGTTTTGCTTTTAAAATAATGTCCTCTTCTGATAAAGAAGCATTCATTATAGAAAACAGAGAACAAAGAAGAAATTAAACATTAATCCTAATACCCAGAGACAGCCTTCTAGAATTCTAGTTTTTTATAATAGAAACATTTCCTTTTTTTTTTGAGTTGGAGTCTCACACTCAAAAGTGTGCAGTGGCACACTCACGGTCACCCCAGCATTGACCTGCTGGGCTCTGGCATTCCTTCCACCTCAGTCTTCCAAGTAGCCAGAACTACAGGCACATGCTACCATGCCTGGCTAATTTTTGGTTTATTGTAGAGAAGAGGTCTCGCCAAGTTGCTCAGGCTGGTCTCGAACCTGAACAGGCTCAGGCAATTCACTCGCCTTGGCCTCCCAAAGTGCTGGGATTACAGGCTGAGTCATCAAGCCTGCCCAAAAACATTCCTAATTCATGCATTAAAAAAAAAAAAATCAACATGTAGTTTGTGCAACCTACCCTAGTGTGTGATTAACTTATTACTTTAAGGGTTACAGAGGAAGTAATGTATCTATTTAACTAAGAACTCTACAGCAGAGATGCAGATTGCTCCTACCTTCCTGCACTAAAGAGTAAGGTTGAATATAAATCTTTATGTGCATTTCTATTTTCTTAGAATAAATTCCTAGAAGCAGAATGACTATGTCAAAAAGAGTATGCACGAAGAAGCTTTCTTTTTTTTTTTTTTTTGAGTTGGAATCTCACTCTGTTGCCTAGGGTGGAGGGCAGTGGCACGCTCCCGGCCACCACAGCCTCAACCTGCTGGGCTCAGGCGATTCTTCCACTTCAGTCTTCCAAGTACGTGGAACTGCAGGTGCGTGCTACCATGCCCGGCTTATTTTCTTATTTATTGTAGAGACGAGGTCTCTCCAAGTTGCCCAGGCTGGTCTTGAATCCCTGAGCTCAGGTAATCCTCTCGCCTCGGCCTCTGAAAGTGCTGACATTACAGGCTTGAATCACTATGCCCCGCCTGGAAGAGGCTTTCAATACTGCCAAACTGCCCCCCAAGTTAAATCAATTTACAACGCCATTCATGTGTATGAGAAAACTTGTGTCCCTGCATTTCACCCTTGATGTTCTCTTTCCTGTTGTTTTAAATATTTGCAAGTTTCATCAGTTATTTTTTAAAAAGGCATTTACCTCTTGTACTCTCCAATTCTTTGGTTTATAACAAAGATAACTCTAATACCCTAAGTCTGTTAGCCACTTGAATTTTTTTTTTTTTTGAGTCAGGGTCTTACTCTGTCATGCAGGCTGGAGTACAGTGGCATGAACATAGCTCACCACAGCTTCGACCTCCTAGGTCCAGGTGAACCTCCCACCTCAGCCTCCAGAGGAGCTGGGACTATAGACATGCCACCACACCCAGCTAATTTTTTTGAGTTTTTTTTTTTTTTTTTTGAGTTGGAGTCTCACTCTGTCACCCAGACTGGAGTGCAGTGGCCGCTCCCGGCCACCGCAGCCTCGACCTGCTGAACGCCGGCGATCCTTGGCTTCAGTCTTCCAAGCAGCTGGAACTACAGGCACGCGCTACCACACCCGGCTAATTTTTTGATTTATTGTAGAGATGAGGTCTCACCAAGTTGCCCAGGCGGGTCTTGAACCCGTGGGCTCAGGCAATCCACTAACCTCAGCCTCCCAAATTTTTTTGACTTTTTTTTAGAGACAAGGTTTCTAGAGATAAGGTTTCTATGCTGCCCAGGTTGGTCTTGAACTCCTGGCCTCAAGCAATTTTCCTGCCTTGGCCTCCCAAAGTGCTGGGCTTACAGGCATGAACCACTACGCCTGGCTAAATTTCTTTAGTTGTGAAGTGCTATAGAGTTGTTCTTTGAGTTAACCAATAAGTAACTATTACAATAAATAACTATTGTGCTGGGTGCCAGGAATACGGAATGTACAGAAACATAGGAAAACCTTTGACGACATCCCTCACAAACTGCTAGGTTCTGAAGTATCATCTCTCCGATGCTGAAGAGCTTAATGAGGACAAAGCTCTGGCTACAGCATAATCCCAGGCAGGTGGTTCTGAGGGGAGCTTCTTTTGGGGCCTCCCACCACCTGCCTTCCATTAGCAATGGCAGAATGATAGGTACCCAGGTCATCTAAAATACATCCCACATTCTTTAGGAATAAGTTGAAGAGGAAATATAAGCAGATAGAAAAGATGGAAGGACAAAACCACCATCAAGACGAATAAAACAGTGGCCACATCCACGTAACAAGGCCAGGAGAGCACAAGCCCACAGGGAAAGGTGCAGAGTGTGACGAGAGGCTTTTAGGGGACGCTGTTCTGATGCAGAACTGGGGGGAAAGGAAAAGGTCCTCGTTTGAGAAGCGCAGGGCTCTCTTCCTCCTCCTCATTCCCGAATCAGAATGCTTCTGAACCAGCAATGCCCAAGCACCAATGTCAGCACGGGACTAGATCTAAGGTGCCTAAGCTCAGCACATTTGCCTCAGACACTCTCTGGTTTCCACCTCAGACCATGAACCTGAGGACAAGCAGAACAGGAAGCAGATGCTCCGAGGACACAGCTCCAGGACATCATTCACACAGCGAAGGCTGGAATCCAGATTCAAACTCCAAAGACCTAGAGAGGCAGGTGCAAAGAATCAAATCGGAGGAGGAATTTGACTGCCACATCTGATCTCTGAGCAGCACTAGAAAGTAGTGAGCCACCAACCACAGAAGTCAAGAGTGAAAGACACCCAACTGCACAGCAGTCACAGAGAAAACGCCCTCAGGGACTTTGCCAGTCTGCAGAACACGAGGCAGCTGGTGACGTGGCTGTCGGACAAGCCGTGGTGCAGGGCCACCTGCTCCTTCTGTTTCTGGAGCACCTCCCGCTCCCAGCCAGATGACTGGGGGCGGGCACAGAAAGGGAACCTGGGGCCAGAGGGGTACAGACGCCATGCCCCAGCATGAGATGAAGTGGAAAGTGAAGGCTCCGAGGGGAAGAGATAGCCACCATCATGTATCCGGAGAGTTAAAAGGCAGATAAAGAGTAAGACTCATCTTGTGTAATCTGCAAACAGAACACGAAGAAAAGCAGGATTAATGGCATGACAGCCCACATGCCGGGCGCCTACCATGAGCAGGTGTGTGTGCCATCGCCGCACCGCCCAACTGCCCCAAGCACCAGGCCATCTGGGACGATGCAGCAGAGGCCCAGGCCCAGAGTGTGGGTGGATAGGGCAGTCCCATGGGCAACCTCTCAGCAAAGGCCACATCAGACCACGGAAACCTGGACATGAAACAGAAGCATGTTCACTGCAGCACTATCCATGACAGTAAAAAATGGAAACAAGCCAGATGCCCATCAACTGATGAATGGAGGAACAAAAAGCGGTCCATGCGTACAGTGAAATATTACTCAGCCAAAAAGGAAATGCCGATACCCACAACCACCTGCAAGTCTTGAGAACATCATGCGGAGTGAAGGCAGCCAGCCACAGGCCACCTGCTGTGAGATTCCAATCGCAGGAAATGCCCAGACTTGGCAACTCCATGGAGACAGAGAGAAGGTCTGTGACAGCAGGGACTGTGGCAGTGGGAAGTGGAAATGACCGCTAACAGGCTCCCTTGACAGGTGATGAGAATGTTCTGGAATTAGACTGGTTGTACAACTCTGTGACGACACTAAAAATCACAAGCCATATACCTTAAAATGTTCCATTTTATGGTAAGTGAGTTATATTTCAATAAAGTTTTTTTAAAAGAGCCCCTCACTAGAATCTCCCTTTAATATTCATACCTCTGCAAAGGTAGCTATTTTACAGACAAAGAAAAATGAGGCTCAATAAAGTGAAACTAGTAAATGATGGAACCAGGATTTGAACTCAGCTCATCTGTCCAACCTAAAACCCTCACTCCCAGTCATGATGCTGGTTATACAAACTCCTAATGAGTAGAAGGGACAAGGAAGGAGAGCTCAGCTAGACACGAGAAAGGACAGACTAACAATTACAGCAGTGCTCTCCCCCTCATTGGAGGTTCAGGCAGGGTCTGAAGACCACTCAGAAGAGTTGAAGAAAGGCCTGCATTTGTAGGAAGGAAGACCCAATAAGTCCTTAACTACCTTCCAATTGGCACATGCTATCCACTCTCTACACGTCAGAACAACTAAGGTTTTCCGCATTTCTCTGCTGTTTCTGTAAACTATTCTTGGTTCCATATACTTAATAAACTGCAATTTTCCTAGTTTTTAAAAATTTTATGTCTTTCACTGTCTCAAATAGCAATACTGAGATGCTGTGATGAATTCAGTTTCTCAATAAAAGATTAGGACTAAGGAGCGAGCCGTAGAGATGCATGCGGCCGGCAGATCCACTCACTGTGAAGTTCAGTCCCTTGACAGGCAGCTTCAGGTGCTGCAGTCCCACAGTCACCGTGTACTGAGTGTAGTTCAAGTAGCCGAGGTGCGCCACAATCATCTCCGCACATTTCTGCAAATACACAAGGAGATGTGTGTCTTTAAGGCAAACAAAACTCATTCCCCCATCAACTGACCCATGAAGCGACACATTTCAACAATAGAGCAGCAGAGCCGTCAGCCCCAGGGGCCTGCCAAGAGCCCAGAGGAAGCCACATGCCAGCCAAAAGCAGTTCCTGGAGAGAATGAACCAGACGGGTATTTTTGGAAGCACAATATATAATATACAGCAATTAGAATCTTTCCGCTTTGGATGATGGGAAACAATCTCTCATCGGCATAAAGAAGTTAACAGTGCGACAGAAACCTGACATTTCCATATATGCTAGCACACCATAAATATGCTAGCATCAGCTCAGACACCTCGCCCTGACCTGTCCCCCTCAGCCCACTTTTATCATTGTTGTAAGGACACACAGAGCGGATTATGTTTCTTTCCTCCCCTTATAGCCTGTCATTGTCTACGTGGAGTCCCCTCCTCCATCCCTTCACCCCACATCAAAGCAAAGACTGTATGAACAGCGGCAAGTGTGGTTGTGTAGATGTGTGCACCTCACAGTCTGATGAATGCCCCTTTCTCTTCTTTAGAATTAAGAGCCAGAGCCTGGGCATCACAGTGAGACCCCATCTCTACAAAAATAAAAATAAAAATTAGCTGGGCGTGGTGGTACATGCCTGTAGGCCCAGGCTACTCAGGAGGCTGAGGAGGGAAGATCGCTTGAGCCCAGGAGCTGAAGGCTGCAGTGAGCTGTGATCATGCCACTGCACTCTAGCTGAGTGACAGACTGAGACTCTGTCACTTAAAAAAAAAAAAAGACAGGAAGGAAAGGAAAGAAAAAAAGCATTAAAAGTTAGGTCTCTGGCCAGGCATGGTGACTCATGCCTGTAATCCCAGCACTTTGGGAGGCCAAGGAGGATTGCTTGAGTCCAGGAGTTCATGATCAGCCTGGGCAACATAGCAAGACCTTGTCTCTACCACCACCACCACCGCCACCACAACAAAATTAGCTGGATATGGTGGCATTTGCCTGTAGTCCCAGCTACTTGGGAGGTTGAGGTAGAAGGAGCCCAGGAGATTGAGGCTGCAGTGATCATGCCACTGCCTGAGCGACAGAGTGAGACCCTGACTCAAAAGACTCAGTGCGCCTTGGGTTCTCCCCTTCAGGAGCAGCAGGAGGACACAGGCTCACTCGGGGTACAGATGCCTTCACAACCAGCCACACAGAGCCAGCCACTCCTGCCAGCCAAGTTCTGCCCAGTCCCACCCTTCAGGATGTGCTGTGCCCTCCGAGCACACACTCTCCCTCGGCTGCATGACAGTCCAGCCATTGCCCAGAATACACAGGCGGCTCTTTGGCTTTCTGGTAGCAACTGCTGTTGCTGTGGCTCTAAACAGGACATCACCCCAACAGTTGGTCAAGGCTCCTCAAGCGTTGGATGTCTGAGGTCAAGGTAAGAAAACAGATCGGGGTTTTATCAAAGCAGCCTTAAAAAGATAAGAGGAGCCGGGCTCAGTGGCTCAGCCTGTAATCCCAGCACTTTGGGAAGCCGAAGAGATTGGATTGCCTGAGCCTGAGGGTTCGATACCAGCCCAGGAAACTTGGCGAGACCTCGTCTCTACAATTTAAAAAAAAAATTAGCCGGGTGTGGTAGCATGTGCCAGTAATTCTGGTTACTTGGAAGGCTGAGGCAGCCAAGCGGGCCGACGCTGGGGTGGCCATGAGTGTGCCAACTGCACTCCAGCCTGGGCAACAGAATAAGAAGCCAACTCAAAAAAAAAGAGAAGTGGCAGGAGGGGGCGGAGTAACATGGGGCAGAAGGTGCTGACCTCAGGGACAGGAGAGGAAGCAGAGACGAGGCGAGTGCTCGAGGGTTTAAGGGAGCACCAAAGTCACTGTGTCAACTGGCCAACACTCGGTCACCTGGTAGCCCTCGGCCTGCGCCAAAGTCCTCATGACTTGGCCAGGAGGGGCTGCCCTGGGAGGGGGCCAGGGCTCTCTGGATGGCCACTCTAACCCCCATAGGGGTACAGGTCACCTGCTACTTTTTGTCACATTGGAGCTGCAGCGTCCTCTCTACCCAACCAGCTTCCTGCATCTGTCTGCTGCCTGGCCTCTGGGAGTGTGAGTGTGTGGGCCGCTCTCCCTGCAAAACTACATTGCCTCGCCTCTCCAACAGCTGGTCAATGCACAGAAAGAGGGACAGCTAAGGACTCGGCAGGGTCAGAAGAGGACAGTGACATCAGTAAGTATATTTCTGTTGGATAGAAAAGCACTTCTTACAGGTCTAAGATTTTGTCTCAGTTTTAAGGGGATGTTTTTAATTTACAAAAGAAGTCTATCTCAGGCTGTATATACTTTCAAGCTTAAAAAACTGCAGTGAAACCACTGAGGATTTGAGGTCCCAAGTTCAAACCATGGTTCTACTGCTGATTAGGAAGTACCTTAGTAAACCACCTTGTGATGGAAAACCACCTGCAGCTTTCTCACCTGCAGGGTGTGGACAACCTCGCTGCTTAAGGCAGACAACAGTTTCTCTTTACATATAAAAAATAAATAAATAAAAGTAAACCAGGTACAGTGGTGTGTGTGCCTGTAGTTCCAAGTACAGGAGTTCAAGGTCAGCCTGGGCAACACAGTAAGACCCCATTTCTAAAAAAGTTTTAAAAATAAAAAATATAAGGGGGTGGTAAATATCTCTGTAATGTAAAAGTTCCATGGTAGGGAATTGTAAAGCCAAGGCAATGCTCCTTGCAGGATTAGGGAAAGACCTGAGTAGACAGGAAACCGAAGTGAGTCATTCCCATGGGGTGACACAGTATAAACTGAGGTAGGGCCACCAACAGGAGAGGGAAGAAGCCACAAAGATGCCCTGAATGACCATTTTCAAGGTGGACAGCATGGCGAGCATGTCCAAGAAGCAGCAGTGCAGACCAGCCAGCCTCCCAGCAGCCTGGCCCTACTTGAAGCAAAGGCTTTAGGTGGGATGACCAGCTTGTCCAATTTTAAAGTTGAAAGTCCTGTATGCCTTGGTGTTGGCAAACCAGCTTCAGGATAGGCAGCCCCTGCCCAGCTTTCCAGTGGGGTTTTCGTCTGAGAAGCAGCCAGACCAGTGTTGCCATGCTGCAGGCAGACACCACCTACCTTGCTGGGGATGAGAAAAGAGCAGCTGTGTGGATGGTGGTCCTGTCTAATTTTCTGCTGTAGAAAGTAGAGCACCCTTACACTCTTACACCCATTGTCCCTCTTGTTATCTAGCAGAACTGATTAAGCCCCTCCTACACAGAGGTATGGTGGGAGGACACAGGGACACCTCATGTTGTACACACACCACACACTCCCACACACTTTATCATCTTGATCCTTGCCACTTTCTCAAGGCAGGCAAGGAAGTTCAATCCCCACTTTACCAATGAGAAAAATATACTTTGGAAGCTGACTCAACCCTGCTCTCACAGAGGCAGAATGAAAGGCCAGTCCCTTCTGGTGCCTTCCCCTAGATCCCACCTTGCCCAGGACTAACACAGTGGCCGAGATGAGAGGAACCAATGCTGTGACAATTCTGCTGGACCTTGAGACCCATTAGCATGCCTTTCCCACAACCCACCATAGGCCGGGGTTCTGACCCATTTCAGTCTCCTCTACTAGACCTCCACAGAGAGGGACTAGAGACAGCAGTGAACCACTGCACAGGAATCCTTCCTCCTTGAATTATTTCCTACCAGAAAAAATAGAGCTAGTGTTTGTACTGTTAGTAACTAGGCACATGGTGGTACAGGCCACAGGCTTCGGAATAAAGGAGCATGGGTTTAAATCCTGGGCTCTCCACTTATTATCTGTGTTACCTTAGGCAATGGTCTTGACTTTTTAAGTTTCAGTTTCTTCTTGCATAAAAATAGGACTCTATTAAGAGCTTCTGCTTCATGGACCTACCTGCTATGAGGACTGAATGAGACAATGTGCTTAGCAGGAAAACTCCCCACTACATGGCTTCTGACATTGTCTTCCTGATCCTATTATCAGATGCACTGCCTTTGTTTGATGCTCTCCATGTTCCCCATGATGCCAGTAACATGAACTCTTTTCTAGAGCAGGAATCTGGTTCTGCCTCTTTGGATTCTGATTAGAATTCAGTGCCAATGACATCAAGAGTGAGGGCTCACTGCCCACTCTGGTCCCCAGGTTTCCTATCCTGTAGCTGTACTGTCCCTGAAGTTGGTGTTCAAAATCATAGGCCACCGACTCTAAGAGGCTTGGTTACTCTGCCCACTAAGATGGATCAGGGCACTCACCACATACTGAGAACAACCCAAAGCCCCAGTGAACAAGAGGGATCATGCAGACCTTCGCATGAGGTGATGGCCCATAAACATTCATCTGTGGACACACTGGGCAGTATTATAAGCTCAGGTGTGTGGTGGTGTGTGTATGTATGTGCATATGTGTGTACACGGGTTTATGGATGTGTGTGCATATGTACATGTGTGTAAGTTTATAAGAATTTTTTCTTTTTGAGTTGGAATCTCACTCTGTTGCCCAGGCTGGAATGCAATGGCACACTCACAGTCACCACAGCCGCGACCTGCTAGGATCAGGCAATCCTTCTGCCTCAGCCTGTTCCAAGTAGCTGGAATTACAGGTACAAGTCCCAATGCCTGGCTAATTTTTTTTATTTACTGTAGAGATGAGGTCTCGCCAAGTTGCCCAAGCTGGTCTTGAAAACCTGGTCTCAGGCAATCCTCTTGCCTCGGCCTTCCAAAGTGCTGGAATTACAGGCCTGAGCCAGCATGCCAGGCCAGTTTATAAAAATTTTTAAGGGCATCAGTGTATAAAATTAGATAAGCTTTCCATGCCATATTTGGTGTAATTCCATTTTTTTAACTTAAGAACAATTTTCAGAGCCTCTTACTGTGCTCTACCTTCTACGGCAAAGAGCAGGTCTGTAGAAATGTATGCAGCCTCACGACTGGTTGTGGCACTGTCAGACACACTCACCCCTGCACATGTGAGCGTCCTTGTCCGATTGTGAACTTTGTTATGAATGTACATTGTGGTTCCATCATGAGCTACACCATCGACTTTAACAGTCATGGGAAAGCTTGTCTGAATAGAAGTTTCTGTAAAAGAAAAAAATCCAGTGTCAGAGACCAGACCGGGTGTTTTACATCTACCAAGGAGCTTGCCCAGTTTTATGATGAACTTGGGAGCCAATTAACACACAGACAGTCCATCAGGTCCTTAGTCCACGATGGCCTCAGCATATTTAAAAATCTCACAATTGCTCAACAAAGTAAAGTTATTCCATTAGATCCTACTTCCAACCCAGGACTCAGGGGCCTATTCAAAACCTACACTTCAGACCCATTAGTTTTATTTCACAAAAGTGTAAACATTTCATAGCTAATGAAATTATATTTTCAATTGCCCTCAAAATTTTTAACTCTATACCAAAACAGAAATATATTTCTTATTTTTTTCTGATTATACAATTTATTGTTTTTCTAATTATAGTATCATTATTTTTTTAAATCAGAACAAAAAATATAAAGATGGCATTAAACACTCATAATCTCACCACCTAGAGATAACCATAATTCATATCTTTGTGTCCATCCTTCCAGGCCATTTTCCAGGCATACAAATATCAAGCTTGTAATCCTAGCACTTTGGGAGGCTGAGGTGAGAGGACTGCCTGAGACCAAGGTTCAAGACCAGCCTGGGCAACTTGGCAAGACCTCATCTTTACAATAAATAAAAAAATTAGCCAGGTGTGATGGTGTGCATGTGTAGTTCTAGCTACTTGGAAGACTGAAGTGGAAGAATCTCCTGAGCACAGCAGATGGAGGCTGCAGTGGCCATGAGTGTGCCACTGCACTCCAGCCTGGGTGACAGAGTGAGACTCCAACTAAAAAAAAAAAAAATTATTTTCGCCTTTTCAACTGTTACCAAAAAGGAATACTTTTAAAGTATTAGGCATTTTTTTCACTTCATGGAGTTATCATCTCAAATTATTTCTTAACCAGAGTGCCCCATCTGAAGCACAGAACACAGAAAATAATGTGGGTAACCATCTTCTCAATTCTCCCCAGGATAATATAAAACTAGTACCATTTTAGGCCAGGCATGGTGCCTTATGCCTGTAGCCCCGGCACTCTGAGAGGCAGAGGCAAAAGGATTGCCTGAGCCCAAGAGTTCGAGACCCATCTGGGCAACTTGGCAAGACCTCATTTCTACAATAAATCAAAAAAATTAGCCAGGTGAGGTGTTGTGTGCCTGTAGTCCCAGCGACTTGGAAAGCTGAGGTGGAAGAATTGCCTAAGCCCAGCAGGTTGAGGCTGCAGTAGCTGTGATTGTGCCACTGTACTCCCGCCTGGGTGACACAGCAAAGCTCTGACTCAAAAAAAACCCCCCTAAAACAAAAAACCCCACAAGTGCCATTTTAGCTGAACAGCAGCTAATTCCTCATAAAGAACAGGTGCCTTAGGGCAGGAGTTCTCAGTTGTGGCACCACTGACATGTTGAATCAGAGAATTCCTTGTTGTGCGAAGTCTGTCTAGTATCCCTGGCATCTACCCACTAGAGGCCAGTAGCACTCCCTCCTCCCCACTTGTGACAAAACTGTCTCCAGACATTGCCAAATGTCCATGGAGGCAGAACCATGACCTTGGAGCATCAGGACTTAAAGCCCTCCCAGATCCCTGCTGGAAAAGACTGGCAGCTACCTGACCTGTGTAGCCTGAAGCTGAGTTAACTGGAACTCTACAGAGAACGGTCATAACCCACCTTCCCTCCCACTGGAAGACATTTATGGGCTTACAACTTGTTGCTATTATGAATGATAATGAGCACCCTCGTACAGCTATCTTTGAATCCTTGTCCATATATTTTAAAGTCCTTTCAATTTCTAAAATATGATGCAGGCCAGGCAGTGGCTCACGCCTGTAATCCCAGCACTTTGGGAGGCAGAGGCAAGAGGTCTGCCTGAGCCCAAGTGTTGGAGACTAGTCTGGGCAACTTGGCAAAAATATGATGATAAATAAATAAAAATAAATTATCCGAGTGTGGTGGCACATGCCTATAGTCCCAGCTACTTGGAAGGCTAAGGCAGAAGGATCGCCTGAGCCCAGAAGGTTGAGATTGTGTGACTGCACTCCAGCCAGCGCATCAGAGTAAGACTCCATCTCAAAAAAAAATAAAAGCAAAAAATATAATGATTTGTACAAAGAAAAATCATCCCAACACGGCAGGCTTCATACCTTTTGATTGATCCAACTCAATGACACACGTCAGCCACAGTTGCTGATTATATGTAGACAGTGGATTTGAAAGTATTTGAATTGGTTTTAGCTGGAGGGAAAAAAAAAAAAGTTAGGGAATCCACGTGACCTTTCCATGGAGTCTACTAAATATCTCATCAGTTTAACGTATGAAATTCACATTTAACAAAAAAGGCTTGAGAGTTAGCTCCGAAATGGAAGCATTTCTGGATTTCTTTTTGACAACGTAAGTGAAATCCTGCCTTCCAGAAGAAGAAAGGACTAACTCCTAGCTGCAGTTCACTTCTGGCTCTCATCCTCTACCCAGGCAGCTTCCACCACTTGAAGCCTTGGACAATAGACCTACTTAAATACCAAGAAAAACTATCTTGGAGAAATAATAAAATAGCAAAATGATGAGATATGTAACAAAAGATACCAATGAGATACTTTCATATTTATAAAATAGCATGTCTCAATAAATATGTCTTTAGTATCAGTATGCCAGACAAGTCACTGTTTGACATCTGTTATTTTTAACTTTATGAAAGTCTTAACACCCCTGGAGAGAAAAATTAGAGGGGATCCTGCCAATGATTCTTCCACAGTGTCTTTTGAAAGACATAATATTGGTGTCTAACAGCAGTGGGACACCGAGTCATTTAAGGAGCCCCCACACACGGCTCCAAAGAAACGCATTATTTGAATGTGCTGTCTTTGCAGGGAAATGTGTTGTTTTTGTGTTTTAACACTTCCCTGTCAGGGTCTCAATGAAACTCCCTAAGACCAAAGACTTACCTAAAAGCCATCAAGGCAATAAAACCTATCAGAGGATGACCTACTGCCTTTGTGAAGTGGATGTCTCCTGGAAGCACATATTATGCAGCTCAGTGGAAAGGCTGCTATTTTCAGGGTCAAAAAGAGACACTCTGAGAGACAGAAGTTTTAAAAGACCAACTCCTGTCAGGACACTCCATGATGGCACCTCTTCAAATCAGACCATCAGCCTGAGAGTTAACGTAAACAAAGGACTGCAAAGAAAACGTGAAGCCAGGCCAAGCAGAGGCCCTTTCAAACCATCAGGAGCAAAAGGAAGAATCCAGAGGTGGATGTTTTAGGGTTTTTTTCTTCTTTTGCCTTTTGAAAAATTATAAAGGTAGAACCTTAGCAGGGAAGTGAAAGAAGAGAGAGAAGGGGGGCCCTGGGGTCATATAATCCAATTTAAACCGTATGTAACATGGTGCCATGAAGATGCAGGGCAACTGTGTTTAGTTACAGATAAAGATATGACATTGGACACACAGAAAAACAAAAAGGCTTAGTTGCCTGGGCTCTCACTAGCCAGTATTTATTCAAGAAAACCACATTTCTCCAATCTCCAACAGAAATCTGTTTTTCTCTAAAGATGGTGAAGAGTCAAGACACATTTAAAAACAAAAGCATTTCCCATTTAAACTGAGTTCATGCAAGAATACCAAAATAATTAGAAAGATCTGCTACTGTTAGAAACATGACGGAGACCAAGTCTTGGGGAAACACAGTGAGAAAGGGTCAAATACCAAAGTGACCATTGTTAAAACGTATAATCAAGTAGGACATACAAGTGCAAGGGATCAGACACATTCAATATCCTTTGAAAACTAACTGCTGCTCCCTAAGAGGTAACACCACCATCCTTCCTAAGTACTGAAGTATTTATTACAGCAGAAAGGGTGAGTTTAGTAAACAAGAACCCAAAGGCCAGCAGCTGACAGCAGAATAAGAACTGTGCATTGCCTGAGGCTAAGTGTGGTGACTGACGCCTGTAATTCAAACACTTTGAGAGGCCAAGAGAGGAGGATCACTTGAGGCCAGGAGTTCATGACCAGCCTGGGCCACATAGTGAGACCTAACAGAGAAAAGAAAAAAAGAAATATGTATTGCCCGAGAAGCATGCTGCAGAACATACGTCGCCCATGCTAGAGTGCACTGGCAAGTTCACGGCCACCCCAGCATCAACCTGCTGGGCTCTGGTGATCCTTCTGTCTCAGTCTTCCAAGTAGCTGGAACTACAGGCGTGCACTATCACGTCCGGCTGATTTTCTATTTATTATAGAGATGAGTTCTCGCCAAGTTGCCTGGGCTGGTCTCTAACCCGTGGGCTCAGGTAATCCACTCACCTCAGCCTCCCAAAGTGTTGGGATTACAGGCTGAGCCACTGAGCCCAGCTCAATCTATCTATCTTACAGAACCTCTAAGCAGGAGCATTTCTCAGTGACTCAGAAGTTTATAATGTCCCCTCACCCCCAGCTGCCACTTAGATCCAGTCTTACCTTTTTGCTATTATTTAGTGAAAAATTAGCTGCAGAAGTCTGGATCACTTTGGGTCCTAACGTGTAACAGAGAAGAGAAGGAAAAAAGCAGGTTACGTCTATATTGATAATTAATTTTTTTTCAAAGGCAAAGAAAGACTCATATATTATGTGGAGGTGGCCTGATTTACCTGGTCTTTTTTTTTGAGATTTTATATACGTAAAGAAATCATATAAACACACAAATAGACACAGAACTTCCATTTGTGTGTCATGACTTCCCAACACAGGTCACCAATGTGACCGACACATAACACATAGGATTTCCAAAGGAAACCCTCTCCCATATGCTCAGTGAGAGCTCTTAGATGCACAGACCAAATAAAACAGTAATTATGCAGACTGTCTAGAAGTTTTAGTAAAGTATGAAGATTTCTTCAACTAAGACACACTTGTTTACTCATCTAATTAATCCAGTCTTCCAAAAGTACTTATTAATGTGGGGCTATAAGGCATTTATTAAGGTGGGGCCAATTTCACTTAGTATAATAGCCTCAAAATTCATCCATGTTGTAGCTTGTGTCTGAATTTTCTTACTTTTTAAGGCTAAATAATATTCCATTGCATGTACATACCACATTTCATTCACCTGTCTATTTATCTGTCAATGAACACTTTGGTTGATTCAACAGTTTTAGTTATTGTGAATAATGCTGCTACAAACACGGGTATACAAATATCTTGTCAAGGGCCAGGCATGGGATTACATATAAATTACACCTGTAATCCCAGCACTTTGGGAGGCAGAGGGGAGAGGATTGTCTAAGCCCAGGAGTTTGAGATAAGCCTGGGTAACTTGACAAGACCTGGTCTTTACAATAAACAATAACAAAATTAGCCAGGCATAGTGGCACATGCCTGTGGTTCCAAACGACTTGGAAGGCTGAGGCAGAAGAATGACCTGAGCCCAGCAGGTCGAGGCTGCAGTGGCCATGAGCATGCCACTGCACTCCAGCCTGGGTGACTGAGTGAGACTCCAATTAAAAAAAAAAAAGTCATCGGGCTCGGTGGCTCAGCCTGTAATCCCGCACCTTTGGGAGGCTGAGGTGAGTGGATTGCCTGAGCCCGCGGGTTCGAGACCCGCCTGGGCAGCAAGACCACATCTCTACAATAAATCAAAAAATCAGCCGGGTGTGGTAGTGCATGCCTGTAATTCTGTCTACTCGGAAGGCTGAGGGAGAAGGATCGCCGCACCCCAGCAGGCGAGGCTGCGGTGGCCGGGAGCGGCCACTGCACTCCAGTCTGGGTGATCGAGTGAGACTCCAACTCAAAAAAAAAAACAAAAAGTCTCTGTCTAGCAGATCCTCCATATGGACTTACACAGGGTAAGTTTCTGTTGGTTTATTGCTTTTCCTTTCAATGTGCCATACTTGACTCTTCCTTTGTATGCCTTGTGACACTCTGATGAAAACTGGACACTTAAATCTAACAATGTGGTGCCTCTGGAAATCAGACTCCCCCTTCTTAGGTTTCACTGTTTTTGCTTTTGTATTTTATTGTTGTTGTACACTGGCTCTGTGCTGAGGGCCAGTCGGAAGGCTTCTCAGGTCTTCTGAGGCTTTTCTGAGTCTATGTTTTCCTCTGGGCTGGTGTGGTACCTTTCCGATTTCCCCTGCATATGCAGTTGCTTTTGAATGCCCTAGTCTTCAATGTCTGGCTCCCAAAAAAGGACCAAGAGAAAAATGAAGGGTGGGGGAGGGGGGGAATGTGCCAGCCCTTTAAATCCCCTGGATGTCATTTCAGCCAGAGGGGGAGGGGCTTACAATAATGGAGGGAAATGCAAGGACAATGGCCACCAACATCATTGTACCTCTGTGGTCAGAGGCAGTACCAACCATCAGAGTACAGATCCCCGATATTTGGAAGACAGGATCCTTTCTGCCCAGACCTTGGTTTCCATAAGCTCTGCTGCCTGCTGCAGGGCTAGGGGGGGCATGGGCACCTGCTACTATGCTGAGTGTGGGAAACCAGTCTTTGAGGAACAATTGCCTCTGGGCAGGTTAAGCTTAATTGTTTGTTGTTCACACTTTAGTATTAAATGCATCCGTTAAGTAATACCTACCAGAAACCACCCTCACTGAAATCTATGTTCTACTTAAAAGGAAAAGAAAGAAATGAAGGGATTGACCCTATCCCCCCAAGTCAGGATCCTGGCTGATGCCTTTGCACAAGACTGCAGAGACCCGGGTTTCTGGAAACCTTGTGAAAACAACTTGGCTTCTCTGGTTCTCCATCTATGGGAAAGGGGATTGGCCCAGAAGATTTCAAAGGCATTTTGTAAGCCAGAATCATTATGGTGAGCTCTTCCTTCCAACATGCTGGGCCACAGCAGGGCGCCTGGTGCCTAAACACCAGAGTGCAGGATGTGTGGGCTTTCACCTGGGACAGCCATGCTGCTGCCCTGTGCTGTCTCATGGCCTTGCCCAGAGATCGGGAGGTCACCAAGGCTTCCTCCTCACTCCCAGCGGCCACCTGCCCCGTGCTACCCCCATCCCTACTCCATTCACTTCATCATTACTTTCCCAGGTACCGGCTCCTCCACCAGGCAGCAGGGTCTGGATCCCCCAGCATCCAGGTGGGTCTGGTGCACAGCTGACCCTAGAAACATTTGCTTGACCAATGACAGGCACATGGGTGAGGTTGCCCCTGGCAGCTGTGCAGGGCATGGCCAGGGTCACTCAGGGATGCTCGCAGCCCCTCTTCTGGAGAGAGAGAGAAGTAATTAGAAGCACAGGGCTGGGATCTCCGTTAGCCTCGTGGGTTCGGGGGAAGCAGCACCCCTCTCTCCACATGGGGCCCGTGCTGGTAGGGTCAGTGGGTACAGCTGGGTTGGCTGACAGCAACACACCAAGGTGACCGTGGATGGCAAAAGGATCAGGGAGTGAGAACTGAAGCTTACCTCTGATCCCGACGAAGACAGTCAGGCCAAAACAGATGAAGAAGACGACAAACACGAGGACAAAGTGGCGCTTGGAGAGCGTGTAGAGTCGCATGGGCGCCAGCCTGGGGGAGGAAGCCAGTCAGTGAGGCAGGTGGGGGAGGGCTTGAGGTCCTCAGGAAGATAGCCGTGCAAGGACACCTCTCCCCAAACTAGCAGCGCCCCACCTCCCACTCCAGTCCCTCACGTCAGAAGTGGACGTAGTCTCAGCAAGTGACCTACCCTGACAAAAGAGCCTCAGCAACCTCGGTGACCAATTCAGAGAGCGGCTCATTCCTGTATGTTCTGGTCAAATGCTCCATAGACACGACCCCCGTCACCCCACTTTGCAAGTGGCAGGCCAAGCCCACCCCTCGTGGCAGGAGATGCCCATCAAGGCACATTTCACCATGCCACAGAGGTGACAGCCTCTACAGCCCCCACATTCAGTGCCATCTCCATAGACCCTAACTCAAGAACTCAAACACACAGCTCACCAAGCCAGACTGGAAACCCAGGTGCTACCAGCACCACAGTCTTCCATCTGGTGTTCCCACTAGCCCACAATCCTATTTTGCTCATCCAGGCTTCAGACCCTCCCTCGTGGCCCCCATCTTGGTGAAGAGACGCAAGCCCACCCTCCCCAGTGGGGTCTGCCCCCTGTGCACTGTCTTTTGCAGCAAGCAGGCCTACTAGTCCTGCCAGATTCCCCTCCTGTCAGAAGAAATCAATCGCCGGCACAGCAGGGATCACTTCTTCCAGAATTTCCTGTACTGGGGCCCAGCAAACAAAAGAAAATAAAATAAAAGAAAAATCTATAAAGGCCCAGACAATAAACGTGCCAGGCTTTGGGCCACGCGGTCTCTGTCACAAGCACTCAGCCCTGCCTCTCCAAGCAGCAAGGGTGTCATGTCATGATTTGGTGGCAGTTGGCCAACCCCGACCCTGCACCCTAAAGAGAAGACCCACAAACCAAAGGAATGAGTGGGGGTGAGGGCCAGTTTTGCTTTGTCTTCTGTATTCTCTGCAGTCCTCTCATGTCCTAGTCTTGGGAGTCTGACCACTTCACACTCCACAGACAGGCAGCAACATACCCACCCTGGGAGGAATAAATGAGCCCGGACCTGGCCGGGTGCGGTGGCTCAAGCCTATAATCCTAGCACTTTGGAGGGCTGAGACAAGAGGATTGCCTGAGTCCGGGGGTTTGAGACCAGCCTGGGCAACTTGGTGAGACCTCGTCTCTACTATATATATATATATATATATACACACATATATATGTATATGTATATATATATATAAATTAGCCAGGCGTGGCAACGCACGCCTATAGTTCCGGCTACTTGGAAGACTGAGGTGGAAAGATCGTCTGAGCCCACCAGGTCGACAGTGGGGTGGCTGCAAGTGTGCCACTGCACTCCAGCCTGGGTGACAGAGTGAGACTCTGACTCAAAAAAAAAAAAAAAGAAAGAAAGAAATGGACCCAACCTAAGGGAAAGAGTATTTACTTTGTGGTTCAAAGCTCACACAGGTATGTGCACACACACCCCTCCCTCACGCACTAGGCACTCCCGCCCCGGAGCAGGAAGTCAGCAGGACGGCCCCAGGATCAAGGTGAGGCCTGTGAGTCACTCCTGTTGGGGACGTGGCGCTGCTGATGTCAAGTCTGCTCTCTGTACGGCCACCTGGGCAGTGGACACAGAGCAGTGTCTCTGGGTTCACTGAATGACAGCACCAGGGAAGAAATGAACAAGGGGCCTCTGTGGTTGTGGCATCCCTTGAGATTCAGGTCTAAGCTGGCCCACAATAAATACTGCAGGTGTGGGAAATAAGTGGCCTGGTTCAACTCAGATCTGGGACCTCAATGGTTAGAAGAGGCCTGGGAGCTAGAAATGTCCTCAAGGAAGACACCCAATCCCTTCAATTTACAGATGGGGAAACTGAGGTCTAGAGACTTAGAGCCTGATTGATTATAAGAGGTCTGGGAGCTAGAAATGATCTCAGGGAAGAAATCTAGCCCCTTTGATCTACAGATGGAAACACTGAAGTCTGGAGACAGCAGACATGCCCACCATGCCATAGCTGGGCCCTCTGGCAGGGCTTGCATTCTGGGAGGAGGCTCTGGGCATAACCACCCTACGGGCTCCAACTACCACTGATGCCCTCTGGGAGGCCCCCTCCCCTCAGGGAGCAAAGGCTGGCAGGGAACAAGCACCTCCTCCGTCCCTCCGTGGTTACCCCAGGGTCCACAAGTCTATTACTTGTTTTTTGGGCATGGCATGTGCAATACATTTTATTTAACACTCTGCAGAAGGGAAGCTTTCTAGGCAGCTACTTCAGGCATTTTCTAAATGTACTAGATGGTGGGGACGTGCAGAGGTCTGTTGTTTAGTTAACAGTACTGCATTGAGGCTAACACCCTCATGTTGATGAATGTGCCACGTTACATGAGGTACTCATGTTAGGGGAGTGGGTGTGAGGAGTGAGCAGAAGCACTGGGGCTATCTCTGCCTTCTTCTGTGAAGCTAAACTTGTTCTTAGAAAGTTCACAACACCACTCACAAGCTCTTCCAGTACACTGTCCGTCCCCAGAAGCAGGCACAGTCCTGAGACAGGACACCCAGAGCCCTCTGCACAGAGGCTAAAAGCACAAGAGAAATAACATGAAAGCAGAAGAAGAATGATTGCCTTTTAAACTTTGACCCGAAAGCACATGACTGACCCCTCCAAGCAGTTATGAAGCAGCTGAGGAACAATGCTTAGATGGGGGTCACAGGAAAGGGCATGAAGGCACAGACTCGTAGCACAGGACCCACCCAGGGAACTTGCCAGCATGCTCAGAAGCTCAATAAAACTCACTGTTTTCCCTTCCTTAAGAGTTTCACTTAAACCCACCTACTAGAAATTGTCCTAGCTTGGCAATCAAGTCGCCAAGCTCAATAGAAAAAAGACACAAAAAGCAAAATAACCTGTCTTCCTGGACAAACGTGGCCTCCATCTAAGCATTGTTCCTCAGCAGCTACATAACCTGCCTGCACTGGGCTTGTCAGAGAGAGGACGGGTGACAGGCCTGCATATCCACTCTGACACCACATTCCTGACATGCTGCAGACCTTCTCAGGTGTTGTCACTCTGGGAGCTGGGCCGGAGACCCTCTGAGCCGCAGGGCTGTCATGGGCCAGGGAGAACAAGACAGGATGATTCTGTGTGATGAGGCCATCCCCTCCATAGCTCTTTCTGCTCCCCACTTCCCATCTAAAAGCTCTGAACCAAAAAACCCAGAGACTTCTGAAGGCTCAGGACCCTCACCCAATTTCAGACAAAGCGGCAATCGAAACCCGCTGCTCACGGTAGAAACAACAAAAGTTTGAGAAGCCAATGTAGTAAAGACAGGAGAAGGGCGGAGTCTTTGCCAAAACTGACCAGCCCTGATGCTGTTAGACCAGCTAAGGGACCACAACTGGTGGCATCCCCAACACTTCCCAACATGGTTTCTGTCCTCACCAGGTGCTGATGGCTCCTCTTTCGGAAATGCTCATGGGTCTCTAACATGAAGCTGGTCAGACCAAGGGCCAGGAGAGTCTGCCGCCCTCATTGACCAGCCAGCTGCAGGAGGACACTTCTGTGAACACTTCCAGGCAGGATTGTGATGCAGAACATTTGCACTGTCCGAGAGCCCAGCCCCAGGCCTGCCCTTCGGCGTATCTCACCTGTGGTTACGGTACTCCCTGAAGGCCCCAGTCCTAGAATCTCGCATGATTCTCCGACACTGGCTGATCTCCTGCTTTTTCTCCAATCGTGCCCTCAGGAACCATCCCAGCCTCTCTGCCAGTACCCCCCACCTCACTCTGAAATAGGGTCTCCCAAGACACGGTCACTTACAAGTTCTACAGTACTTTACGGTCAGGAGATTGAAAACTGAACTCATAAAAAAACAAAATATAAATGAAAAGCCCACTTTCACCCGCCCTTTCCTGCCTCTGCCCTCTTTCCACCCCTAAAGCCCGGCGCTGTCTGGGCTGGCCCTCGCTCACCCTCCACATCCAGACAGCCAGAAGAGGTGAGTCCTTGCTGCCTAACTGTATCCCTGGCACGCCAGCCCACTGCCCAGGCTGCAAGGACCCCTGCCAGTCACCACCCCTAGACGTGCCTTCCTTCATGGCTACTGCAGCCCAGAAAGCCCATGGGGCCCCACAGCCAACTCAACCAGGCTTAGAGTCGTCCTTGGTGCGTTCAAGGTCCCCAACTCCTTCCTCACAACTCCCATCCGACCCTCCTGGCACCCTGCATGTCTCCTACACGAGCCATGACCTCATCATCACAGGCCCAGGGGAGGTGCCACTGCACCCCTTTCACAGATGAGAACGCTGAGGCGCTGAAGGTTAGGGGCTCATCCTAGATAGCAAGGTTGCTAGGTGGCAACCATGAAATCTGAGTGCTAGGTGCCAGGGTGTCCATCCTACAAGGCTCCCAGCACAGATGGGCCAGACTCCAGCAAGCCCACTCACAGTGGCGCTGAAGGAGACGCACTCTCCTCCCCACCACGCCATCCAGAGCCAGCCCAGCACCCCAACCCAGCACGCAAGGCTCCCCGTGTACCCAACTCTTTCCATGAAGTAATCCTGCGCTGCTCGACCTCCCATGGCTGTCCACAACTTTAAACCATGGCGACTGATGAGGTCTGACTGCACCCCTGAGTGCCTGACACTAAGTATCACTCCATCTGCACTGGCACAAGGCGCTGCACGTGGTGGCATTGGAAAACAGACACTGAACACAACTGCCATTAGTCATCTCAAAGCATCTGTGTAGTTCCCTCAAGCTGGTGGTGAAGGGCTGGGGAGCAGGTGGGGGCTCCCCGATTCCCCACATGCCCAGGCCAAGTCACGTACAGCAGGTAAGGAAGTCCTTTGCCGAGCTGACCAGAGCAGAAAGGAAGACTCCCTACAAAACCCCTGCCAGCTGGCAACAATGTCTTTTTTTTTTCTTTTTTGAGTCAGGGTTTCACTCTGTCACCCAGGCTGGAGTGCAGTGGCACAATCACAGCTCACCACAGGCTCAATGTCCTAGACTCAGGCAATTCTTCCAACCTCAGTCT